CTCATGCATAGTGCATATTTCCCACACATAGTAAGAATGAGCAGGCCCATTCCCAGGAGCCATGTCCTGACTCTGGCTCAGGCTCCCACCTTGTGTACCACTCTGTACCACACTCTGTTTCACTTAGTCTTACTGCTTGTCTTATGATTAACTAAAGTTTAAAAATATTGAACTATGTTCATCCTATAGTTTTAACTTATAGTCTACTTGGGAGTCTACTGAAAAATTGGCTTCTTTCCTGTCTATCCCCATGTCTGCTTGGTCTCCTTTTCATATCATACCGGAACCCCCTCTTTATCCAAACAGCCACCCTCCCTGGACCTTGAGCCACTATGGTTTCTTCTTGTGACTATGTGTATGTGGCTATGTGTATCGGGTCAGGCTATGTGTATCAGGTCATAGCGCACAAACAAGTGATAACGTTAGTTCCGTTACTACTCCTATCTCCACACAGCTGCACCCTTGGAAGATAGTAAAAGACAGGATGAACTGAAAAACGGTGGTCACTCTGAGGCTCTTTGTCTAGGATGAACTGAAAAAAACTGTGGTCATTCTAAGGCTCTTTGTCCTGACCGTGTGACCAGGTTACTCAGAAGCAATGAGAAACAATACAGGTGTATACAGGTATATCTGTTCCTGAAGTTGATCTCCATCCCATGTCCTTGACTACACACCCAGACCAGCTGCAGGGAGCTAGAGGGAACCATCCTTTCTCAGAAGCACAGCATTTGCACTAAAGAAATGTCTCTACTATTGTTAAATTGGTTCTTAATCCATAGGCATATAGGGCATATAGGCATTTCATTCTACACCATGCATAGTTCATATAATTGGTTTGTTATGTTGTCCAAGTAAACTAAAAATCTCCAATACTCTCCACTCTCAAAGATGTGCATTTCCAATATATCACTTAGTCCTAACTGCTGTCTTCCTGAAGTTCAGTCCAGTTGTTTTCAATGTACAGTTGAAGTCGGAAGTTTACATACACCTTAGCCAAATACATTTAAACTCAGTTTTTCACAATTCCTGACATTTAATCCTAGTAAAAATTCCCTGTCTTAGGTCAGTTAGGATCACCACTTTATTTTAAGAATGTGAAATGTCAGAATAATAGTAGAGAGAATGATTTATTTCAGCTTTTATTTATTTCATCACATTCCCAGTGGGTCAAAAGTTTCATACACTCAATTAGTATTTGGTAGCATTGCCTGTAAATTTTTTAACTTGGGTCAAACGTTTCAGGTAGCCTTCCACAAGCTCCCCACAATAAGTTGGGTGAATTTTGGCCCATTCCTCCTGACAGAGCTGGTGTAACTGAGTCAGGTTTGTAGGCTTCCTTGCTCGCACACGCTTTTTCAGTTCTGTCCACAAACTTTCTATAGGATTGAGGTCAGGGCTTTGTGATGGCCACTCCAATACTTTGACTTACTCCATTACCTTGACTTTGTTGTCCTTAAGCCATTTTGCCACAACTCTGGAAGTATGCTTGGGGTCATTGTCCATTTGGAAGACCCATTTGCGACCAAGCTTTAACTTCCTGACTGATGTCTTGAGATGTCGCTTCAATATATCCACATAATTTCCCTTCCTCATGATGCCATCTATTTTGTGAAGTGCACTAGTCCCGCCTGCAGCAAAGCACCCCCACAGCATGATGCTGCCACCCCCGTGCTTCACAGTTGGGATGGTGTTCTTCGGCTTGCAAGCACCCCTTTTTCCTCCAAACATAACGATGGTCATTATGGCCAAACAGTTCTATTTTTGTTTCATCAGACCAGAGGACATTTCTCCAAAAATACGATCTTTGTCCCCATGTGCAGTTGCAAACCGTAGTCTGGCTTTTTTATGACGGTTTTGGAGCAGTGGCTTCTTCCTTGCTGAGCGGCCTTTCAGGTTATGTCGATATAGGACTCGTTTTACTGTGGATATAGATACCTTTGTACCTGTTTCCTCCAGCATCTTCACAAGGTCCTTTGCTGTTGTACTGGGATTGATTTGCACTTTTCGCACCAAAGTACGTTCATCTCTAGGAGACAGAATGCGTCTCCGTCCTGAGTGGTATGATGGCTGCGTAGGTCCCATGGTGTTTATACTTGTGGACTATTGTTTGTACAGATGAACGTGGTACCTTCAGGCGTTTGGAAATTGCTCCCAAGGATGAACCAGACTTGTGGAGGTCTACAATCTTTTTTCTGAGGTCTTGGCTGATTTCTTTTGATTTTCCCATGATGTCAAGCAAAGAGGCACTGAGTTTGAAGGTAGGCCTTGAAATACATCCACAGGTACACCTCCAATTAACTCAAATTATTTCAATTAGCCTATCAGAAGCTTCTAAAGCCATGACATCATTTTCTGGAATTTTCCAAGCTGTTTAAAGGCATGGTCAACTTAGTGTATGTAAACTTCTGACCCACTGGAATTGTGATACAGTGAATTATAAGTGAAATAATCTGTCTGTAAACAATTGTTGGAACAATTACTTGTGTCATGCACAAAGTAGATGTCCTAACCGACTTGCCAAAATGATAGTTTGTTAACAATACATTTGTGGAGTGGTTGAAAAACGAGTTTTAATAATTCCAACCTAAGTGTATGTAAACTTCCGACTTCAACTGTAAATGCTATTGGTAAACAAACCCAGATGAGTTCAGTTTGGTTGAGTAATGTGGTCCACATCTGGAACCATGGCCTGAGGAAACATCAACTGTATCATTGTTGTATTAATCACTCCATTTCTTCTGCCAATACCTTGACACAACACTTGGAATAGTGGGCTATTGACATTTGATTCATATTAATTTATCGGGCAAATGGGTGGTGTTGTTGAAAAATAATCTGGAATGAATTAAACCAGATTGGGATTTTTGGACACCTAATTGGGGATATAAACTGAATAGAGATAGGAATGAAAAGCCATTTTATAATCAATTGCATCTCAGTGAAGCAAATCCAGCTGCATGTCATGGGATGGAAATGAATTGCTCAGCCAGGGAGAACGTCTGAAGTTCTCACATAACATGCAAAGAAATCAGTAGACTAGTTTTACTACTAATTACAGATTTAAAATATAATATAATATAACATTTAGCAGACACTTTTATCCAAAGCGACTTACAGTCATGCGTGCATACCATTTTTTTTTTTTTGTGTATGGGTGGTCCCGGGGATCGAACCCACTACCTTGGCGTTACAAGCGCCGTGCTCTACCAGCTGAGTTACAGAGGACCACAAAAAAAATTATATAGTAGTTCAGCTGCTACTAATTTACAGATTGGTAAAGACTCATATCATATGTTTATTGTTGAGAGGCTGTGTTCACTTTTTAGGTAGTTAATGCATCCTCATAGAGATATGGCAATGTATTGATCAGATGGCAACATTATTAGGCTACATTAGGCTGATGCTTTCACGACAACTGGGAACTCGGAAAAGAACGAGGTGAAAGCATGACGTCAGTGATCTTTAGGTCGGAGCTCTAGAAAGATTCCCTAGTTTCCGACTTGGATGACCGTTCAAAACGATTTTTCCCAGTCGGAGCTCTTTTTTTCAGAGTTCCCAGTTGTCTTGAACGCACTAAATTCGGAGATTTCCGAGTTCCCAGGTGTTTTGAATGCGGCATATATTATGGGAATTACCAAATCGTGACGCATTTGAATAGAGAAAGTGCGCAGTCAGTGGTGAGCATTGGGGTACTGCCGAGGTTAGTGGCAAGGTAAGGACTTGCAATGACTGCTCTCGTGTGTATATAGAAATTGTAAAAGTATAAGAGGAATGTGATATTTGAAGGTGTTTTGAAACCCATTACTAGTTTAGGACAATGCACCATGAAGTGCGACGGTTGTAAAAATAGATTGGCTTGCTACGTTAGCCTAACAGGGTCATGATGGCCATAGTAAAATAAAGGATCAGTGTGGTCAGGGCTAGCAATTATGCATTTACAAGCTGTTGTTGTTTTCTTATCATAAATACGCAACTGCTATGTAGTTTTACAAATAAATATGCGAGTGATTACTTTATAGCTAACGTTAGCTAGCTAACCATTTACACAGCTAATCTTCTTATTCCTGTCTAATCTAGGGAGAGACGGTTTGATGCCAAATGCATCACTTGCGTAACGCGTTACTTACTTTGCGTGTTCACATTTTACATTTTAACAGACGCTCTTATCCAGAGCGACTTACAGTTAGTGAGTGCATATTTTTTCCCCATACTGGCCCCCCCGTGGGAATCGAACACACAACCCTGGCGTTGCAAGCGCCATGTTCTACCAACTGAGCTACAGGGGACCCGTGTTCAGACAGATGCTAGCTAATAGCTGTCTTTATACACAAATATCAGGTGATGCTGCTTGCTAACATGGAAGTGATTGCACTTTCTAAATGGCAAGTAAAGTTGTTGATTTTTTAAAAGTCATTTTTTAGCAGACGCTCTTATCCAGAGCGACTTAGTTAGTGCATACATTTTCATACTGGCCCCCCGTGGGAAACGAACCCACAACCCTGGCGTTGCAAGCGCCATGCTCTACCAACTGAAACGCAATTTTTACTTTGCTATTTCACCTATGCATATTTCTTTTTCAGCATGTTGCGTCTACCTGCTGTGAGTCGCGCTCTCGGAGTCGCTCACTCTACAGGGGGCGTGGCTGTCACAAAAAATGGTAGGCCTCATAAATTTACCAACAGTATTAATAATATCACTATATGTTATTATACATGCAGGAATAAGAGCACATGTGTCCTTGTTACCTAATTCTACTCACAGATTATCTGCAGGATAACAGATTTGCCAGGCCTAGGCTGGAATGGTGAAATCAGATCTGCTCAATTTAGTTGGTTAAGAATGCCTTTTATTGTGATGGCACACTTCAAATTTAACTAATGCAATATGTAATGTGGATAATAAAGTCTATGGCATTGTGTGAAATACAAAGAGTGAGATGGAGGGTGGTTTTTGATACAAGGATGTAGACGATGTGTGTCTTTTTTAAAATGTGTTTACAGTTCGCAATGCAGCTACAGCAGCAGCCAGTAACTTGGTGGAGGTATTTGTGGATGGGAAGCCACTTATGGTGGAACCAGGAACCACAGTGCTGCAGGTAGTGGGGGCTCTAATATTTGACAAATACTTGACTCTAGAATAGAATGTCTTGTCAGATGTTTATACAGAGTAACTGCATTGGCAATTACTTTAGACTTTCTTGATATCTTGTTTTAGGCATGTGAAAAGGTGGGAGTGCAGATTCCTCGCTTCTGTTACCATGAGCGCCTGTCAGTTGCAGGGAACTGTCGGATGTGTCTCGTGGAGATTGAGAAAGCTCCAAAGGTATGTGCTTATGGGTTATTTAAGGTTTTTAATTGACTGGCATGTACTTGTACCCTTGTTTATGATGTACACTCATATTCTAATATCAACACATGCACATCTCTTTACAGCCAGTGGCAGCATGTGCCATGCCAGTCATGAAAGGTTGGAACATTTTAACTGACTCTGACAAAACAAGGAAAGCTAGGTAGGTAGAATCACCTGCAAACACCTCATCCCTTTGCATTACCTTCACCTCATCCCTTTGCATTACCTTCTTATTTGGTAATCATCACCAGTATTATAGCTTTTTCTTTTACCCTCTTTTGGTAGAGAGGGTGTGATGGAGTTCCTGTTGGCCAATCACCCTTTAGACTGCCCAATCTGTGACCAGGGGGGAGAATGTGACCTTCAGGTAAAAATATGTCATCATTGTTTCCTAAAACTTCTAAATCTCCTCTTTAAGAGGCTAGCAATAATGGTGATGATTCATCAAGTGGGAGGAACTAGCAATGAGGTTTTTGGCATTGGACTTCTAAAAGTAACATGTTTTGCCATTGTGTGCTGACTGCAGGACCAGTCCATGCAGTTTGGCAGTGACCGGAGCCGCTTCTTGGAGAACAAGAGAGCTGTGGAGGACAAGAACATTGGTCCCCTCATCAAGACCATCATGACCCGCTGTATCCAGTGCACCCGATGTGTCCGGTGAGGCAGACTCGTAATCAAGGTCCACCTTGGAAGGATTAATTATAGAAGGCAACACCTTATTACTAATAATTTCAAAAGGGACTGATATCTATTTGCAAAATAATGTTTTCCATCTTTGCAGCTTTGCCAGTGAGATTGCTGGTGTGGAGGATCTGGGAACCACTGGAAGGGGCAATGACTTGCAAATTGGCACTTATGTGGAGAAGATGTTCATGTCGGAGCTGTCTGGGAATGTAATTGACATATGCCCTGTGGGAGCACTGACTTCCAAGCCATATGCCTTCACTTCCCGTCCCTGGGAGACCAGGTATGTGCATTAGAGTATGTTGTTGTGCATACAATACAAGCCAGCTCTTGAAATGGAATCCAAGTAGTAGTATATATACCTTGTTGGTTATCAACTAACCTTTCTCTCCTCACAGGAAGACTGAATCCATTGACGTGCTGGATGCTGTGGGCAGCAACATCATAGTGAGCACCCGGGGTGGTGAGGTCATGAGGATTCTGCCCCGTCTCCACGAGGACATCAATGAGGAGTGGATCTCAGATAAGACCAGGTAAGCTAAGGACCAGCTCATGTCACATCCACACTGCTTTGCCTTGTCTGTCTGAATTAACAGTGAACTCATTCTCTCCCTTGATGGCAGGTTTGCCTATGATGGGCTGAAGCGGCAGCGCCTCACTCAGCCCATGGTGAAGGATGCGTCTGGACAGCTGGTGGCCACTTCCTGGGAGGATGTGTTGACTAGAGTGGCTGGGGTGGTATGTGATATGTGGCATATTGAACACTTCTGTTTACGGTCATACCTTCCTCCTCCATGTTATGTGTATAAACAAAGAGAGAACAGTTTATCCACAGTGTCTCATGACCTGAGATGTAGCGTGATCTGTTGTGATTCAAGCATTTCCTTGTTGATGTAATTTGTGTTTGTGTGCAGGCCTTTTAAATGGTGTGTAGACACGAGTAGCCTATTACATCAGTGTTTTCTTTTGCAGTTGCAAGGAGCTCAAGGGACCAGTGTAGCGGCCGTTGTAGGAGGGATGGTGGATGCAGAGGCTCTAATCACCCTGAAAGACATGCTGAACCACTTGAATAGTGACAGCCTATGTACTGAGGAGATCTTCCCCATGGCAGGGGCTGGGTAAGGCACGGCTGAGCCTGAGGATAATACAGTGAGTGGTACAGAGCTAGTTAAGATAAGACCTCAGTGGAACATTCCTGATTTGGGTTCTATTTCCTATAGATCTGACCTGCGCTCAAACTACCTACTGAATTCCCGCATCGCTGGCATTGAAGAGGCTGATTTGCTTCTCCTAGTTGGCACCAACCCACGCTATGAGGCACCACTTTTCAACGCACGAATCAGGAAGAGGTATAGCTGGGATGGGATTTAAGTGCTGTCAAAAATCACTGGCAACTCAATTTGCATGTAAATAACTGTCATAGCTGTGTGCTGCATCCAGCTCCTGATTTACACTCTCTCCTTTAAGTGGAAACTATAAATCTGAAACATGTTACCACCATTGAGATGACTAGTAGTATTTAATGCATGCTTCATGTTGTACCCTGGGTAGTTGGCTTCATAACGAGCTGCAGGTAGCCTTGGTGGGGTGGGAGGTGGACTTGACCTACACATACGATCATCTTGGGGAGTCTGCTAAGGTCCTGCAGGAAATAGCTGATGGGACCCACCCCTTCTCTAAGGTAGTCATGTATTATTTACACATCTCATGGTCGGTCACTAAGTGCTGTCAATGAGAATTTGCTACATCAACAATTATTTAAAATCTCGTTCCCAGGTTCTTGCCAAGGCAAAGCGTCCTATAGTGGTGTTGGGCAGTGGTTCCCTGCAGAGAGGGGATGGGGGCCGCAATACACGCAGCAGTGTCTACCATTGCTCAGAATGCCTGTGTCAGCAGTGGAGTAGGGGAAAGCTGGAAGGTTCTCAATGTGCTTCACAGGTAATAACTACTACTGTACTTGATGTAGAATTTTTTTTAAATGAGTTTTCACAGCAAATGCCCTCTTTGTTTGTCTGTTACTTACTACAGGGTGGCCAGTCAAGTAGCTGCATTGGATCTGGGGTACAAGCCAGGCGTGGAGGCCATCAGGAAGAATCCACCCAAAGTCCTGTTCCTCCTTGGGGCCGATGCTGGCTGCATCACCCGCCAAGACCTGGCAAAGGACAGCTTCATCATTTATCAGGGTCAGCAACGTGCCACCACAACAGAGAATTAACACCATTCTTTGGTGTGCAGAATTTCAATAATAATATCCATGATCTTTAAGTGAGTCTTGCATCAGCCTGAATGTAGTTTTTGCTCCGTAACTCTACACAGGGCACCATGGAGACGCTGGGGCGACAATGGCTGACATCATTCTCCCTGGAGCAGCGTACACAGAGAAATGTAGCACCTATGTGAACACTGAGGGGCGCGCCCAACAGACTAGGCTGGCTGTGACTGCTCCAGGCATGGCCAGGGAGGACTGGAAGATCATCCGCGCCATATCTGAGGTAAACTACTGGTTCACCACACTTATCAGTCAGTGAATGTGTTCAGTAGCAATTTCATGACTTAACTGTGTTGATGTTTATTTATTCATTTTTCTATAGCTTGCTGGATTGACACTGCCCTATGACACCATGGATAAGGTGCGTGACAGATTGGCGGAGGTTTCACCCAACCTGGTGCGCTATGATGACGTGGAGGAGGCCAACTATTTTAAGCAGGCAAATGAACTGGCCAAGGTCAGTTGTAACACTATATATATATATATATATATATATATATAGTACACCACACAAACGCCTGTCTCCCTGGAACTTCCTAAAGAATATTGTTAGTGTTCTTCTTAGGAAGTAGGAAAAATAGTTGGCCTGAGGAAAACCTCTCCTATGAACATGATTATTTTTTAAATACACTCACGCCTCGTGTCTGCTTCCTATTGTTAATTAGGTTGTAAACTAATGGTGTCTGTCTTCTCCCTCAGGCTGTGAATCAGACCATCCTCACAGAGCCTCTGGTTCCTCCTCAGCTCACTGTTCGAGACTTTTACATGACAGGTTAGACTGGCCTACTGACTGTCTTTTCTTTACTAATGTATGTCAATGTTGTGTTAAAATCTCTCTCTTATCCACAGATCCTATCAGCAGAGCCTCCCAGACGATGGCTAAGTGTGTGAAGGCTGTAACAGAAGGAGCCCGAGCTATAGAGGAGCCATCCATATGCTAAAGCTCTGTTTTCAGGGTCATTCCTATCTAAATGTAACATGTCTATCCAACTCTCACATACTTACAGAAATAACCCTTAGGCCTACATACAGCCATAGACATTTATGTATATGCTGTACAGTGTCATTGTAATAGATGCCTGTTCAACTCTCACACACCTACAGAAATATATTAATATATGTCGTAAATGCAATAGATGCAGTACCTATACAATTCTCACTATAACAACAGCTGTGGCACATCCATAGAAACATTTATTATGCAGTAATACACACAACTTCCTCATGCCCTTAATGACCAAATGCAGTACAAGCACCTTTCAGTCTTCCAGCTGACATCAGCATAAATAATTTATTTCCTCTAAGTATATTACCGTACCACTGTGAATTGTGTATAGATTGTATTTTCCCCAATGACTTGAGAATATGCTTCTTTGTAGATAATGTATACAAGAATAAATGTAATACATCTATTATTCTTCAGTAGTAGTCAATGGTAAAGCACAAACTATTCTTAATCTTTGTAGATAGAGCCTGAATAGAGCCATTGGTCAGCACAATGTATCACATTGGAATGAATGTCTTATGCGCCACTATAGCACAGTTTATATCAGTGATCACAAATATTTTTATTACACTGTTGAAATAGATTAAATGTACTTCATTGTAACCTTCATGAAATACTTGTTTATAATCACACACCCACAAATGCATGTTTTGTAATGGCCAAATTGAGCTGGTGAGAATGTCACAAGTGCATTGCGAATCAAATAAGGCAGGCTTATCAGAAATGTTAATTTCTATAGCAGAGAATGTAACAAATCTGAAACAATTTCCTAGGGAAAGAAGAATACATTAATGTGGAGTATTACATTAAAGCTGTGTTCCCCATAACTTTTTACAGTTACAAGCTGTTAGTAGGAATAGACGTGATGGGCACTAGCTGCATCAGCATTGGGCAACAGTGTTGCAGACAGGGTAGAGAGAACTCATTCATAAAGAATGATGTGATATCAGCCGTTGCCAGATAGAACCGTGACCGATAAGGTTGATATAAGTAGGGAAATGTAACTTATTTCAAAGCACATAACTATAGCTACCCTCCAGTCAGCATTGCCATGCATGTACTCGGCAGTACATACAATTGAATTTCTTCACTGCTGTAGCTAATACAAAGTTGAATTTCCAATATGGTGTAGAGGTTGTTGTTGTACAGTGAACTGTTGTCATGTCTCCGCAGTGCCTGTAGTGGTGCTGTGAGGAGTCTGCTGTGGACTCAACTAAAATCCTCAGCAGCTCCCAACTGCTAATATTTGCTGTGGATAATCTACATTTACATGCATCAGTATTTTCAATGATATTGTATTCGAATAGGAGCATTATTAGTATCCTAAAATATAGAATATCGATGCACAAATAGGCAAGCTGATTCTTCTGGCACTTCTACAGTCTTTCCGGAGCGAATACCCTACATAGCCTATACCAATTGAAGGTAAGCGAAGCCTCTTCACAGCCTCGACTTCGATTTTTGGAGAGTCCGGTTATGGCGCAGGACTAGAAGGACGACTTTGCTACTCGAGGCCCAATTACTAGGTCTGATAGGCCTTATTGTTTCATGTTTAAAACGTTTGATTTGTTATCTGTATCACACAACATATGATAATGATAGCTGGTTAAGGAGCTATGATATAATATACAGACATTCACAACGTTTCATTAATCACCTAAATGTATTTTTCTAAACAGAAAATGATCAGATGACTTGCGGGCAATGTTTTGTTTTGAAGGCCTTTTTGAACGGGCCTCTGTGCCTCCCCTTGCCGTATGTTTGATTCTCGTGAAATCCTAGTCTGAAGATCTTTTTATATTTCAAACCATTTCCAAATATATTTCAGTTTATTGAAAATTTCGCATAATATTTCATTGACATTTTCTCGTGTATGTTGATGTTTCCGTTTCCTGGCTACAGCTACTTTTGTGTTTTTAGCGTAGCTAGCTAATGTTAACTAATGTGCTAACGTTAGCTAGCTACCTACAGTACTAGTCTACAGAAACAATCGTATAAGGTAACTAGCTAGCTAGTTGTTATGTATGATGTTAATGTATGTCGTTAACATACATTTGTACTTGTCCAATGGCTATACTTTTCGGAGGTGTGCAAATTGGCCAGAATGTAGTTAGTTATCTAGCTACTAACGTTAGCAAGCTAGCTACCCAAGAAATGTAGCTAGCTATATAGCTAGCTAACGTTAGCTAGCTAGCTCGGTTTGCTAACGTTACCTGACTAGGTTGCTAGCTAACGTAAGACAGGTAGCAAGTAGGTAAATAGGCTAGCTAGCTATTTGTTTTTGATAACTTGCTAGTAATTGTTGGGCTGTTTCGCAGATAATTAGACACGTAGTTTGCTTAACGTTATTTAATTCAATTTGTTCAAGAAGTGTGCATGTATTAAGTTAGCTAGCCAACGTTAGCTAGTTATTCCTCCAGTTTTAATCACAACGTTAGGTAATAGCTATATTTTAACGAGAGCCTAATTTAATTCAGGGTTATCTAACGTTAACTAGCTAGTGGAATAAATGGTGACGTTCTAATTTTGTCTAATTCTCTCGCGAAAATGACATTGTGACAATACAGGACAGCGTTTCCACATCCTGTATTTATTTGCATATAACGGGCAACTTCAGTCTGACTGCATCCTCGTGCGCATGAATGCACTGTAGCCACAGGTACGGGGAAGCATTACAGTGCTTTCTACAACTGCATGTCCTAAGCCAAAAATGTCCCTTACAGCATTGGTTCAAAAACAAATTAAACAAACATGAAGTCATATGCCACATATCATCCTATTATTTCGGTCGTGTGCAGCTTTTTTTTGTTTTTTACACTAGTAGTCTTATTTGGCGTACCTCGAACAAATTCATGATTAGATTCCTGAATTGTGCATGGTGATGTTGTTGCTAGCAAGTCAGGGGAGCTGTAAATGTTTATTTCTGTACCCCCAGTCTGTTTGTGTTTGTCTTGTTTGCATATTCAGAGCATTCTCTGATTTACTGTGCATGATGTTAGACTTATGGTTTTCCCTGGCTTATTCCTCTCCCATCAGCTGATGTTCTCAAGGACAAGAGTCACGTGATGTATGAGGGCAAACACATCCACTTCTCGGAGGTGGACAATAAGCCATTGTGCTCATACAGCCCAAAGCTCTGCAAGCAGCGCAGACTCAATGGCTATGCCTTCTGTATCCGTCATGTCCTGGAGGATAAGACTGCCCCCTTCAAGCAATGTGAATATGTTGCCAAGTACAACAGCCAACAGTGCACCAACCCCATCCCCAAGTCTGAGGACCGCAGGTGGGTGTGACAATACAATAGAAAGCTGTCCTCTGCACTGAGGACGGTAGGTCTTTGTCATTGACCTATCTGTCATAGTTGTGAAACAGCATGTTAAAGATGTGTGTTTGTTCCACAGATACTGTAACAGCCACCTCCAAGTTCTTGGGTTTATCCCCAAGAAGGAGCGGAAGAAGAAGCACGATGCATTGGAGGAGATGCGCTCACGACCTCACCTGGAGTCAGTGGCTCTTAACATAACTGTGCCCTCGCTGGCCCTGAAGGCCTCCAATGGCCTGGACGAGCTGCCACCCTCTCCACCCTGTACCCGTCTCCTACCCCTTCCAGACGAGGAGATCCTGGACCCTTTTGCCTTTTATGAGGACGACACAAACGGGGAAGAGGGCCCTGCTCGGAAGGGCTCCACCGTCAGGAAGAAACTACACAGTCGGCTGGTGCTCAGCCAGAAACTCCAGCTCCACCATCACGACACTGACTTCCTCCAACCACCTCCAGAGCACTTTAGCCCCTCTCCTCTTCCCCGTGTGCACCCCTCCTCACCCCTCCACCCGCACCTCCCCTGTAAACAGCAGACAGGACTACTCCAGCCCCCCCAGCACTCTACCATGCCCTCGTTTGTCCTCCCAGGACAGCAGCAGGGTTTATTATGCAAGCCAGCTCCAACTCAGACTCTCGCCTTTCTGCCTGTCGGGCTGCCCCCCAACACGGCTCCCAGTCAGGTACAGTCCTCCGGTCCCCCCCTCAGCAGGAAAGCTCTGTTCACTGCCACGCCCTTGCCATCCAGTAGCTGGGACAGCGCTCAGCGGCTTGTGGTGGCCATGCGCCCAGCTGCCTTCTCACCTCCCCCTGCCTGCCTGGCCAGGTTACAGCATCTCGTGCAGCTCTGTTCCCAAAGACATCAGGAGCACGGAGACCTTTTCCCTCATCTAGGTACCTCTTCTTCCTATCCATGTTAAATAGAGTTTACACAGGCAGTCCAATTCTGATATTTTTTTCACTAATTGGTCTTTTGATCTGATGTGATTGGTCAGTAGACCAATTAGTGGGGGAAAAAATCAGATAGACATTTTAGTAATTTAGAAGACGCTCTTATCCAGAGCAACTTACAGTTGGTGCATTCATCTTAAGCAAGCTAGGTGGAACAACCACATATCTCAGTCATAGTAAGTACATTTGTTCTCCAAGTAGTTATCAGCATAGTCAGTGCTAGTAGGAAAAGACAAGTGTAAGTGTTAGTTCACAAAAGGCATTCATAACTTTTTTTAATTAGGCTTATTAGTTGTGGAACATGGGGTAGTGTAAGATAAATATAGATGATCTGACAATATGCTGCTGAGACCAGCTGGACTAACAGGCTATCTTCTTTCAGGGTTGGACTGGTCTGAAGACAGTGCAGAGGATGACGACGTGGAGGCAGAGAGAGTTCCACCATATCACAACGCCTGGAGACTACAGGAAGGACACACACAGGACGTGTAAGTTGCTTTCTAACATGCTCATAGTTAGGCTCTCATTGTAGTCAGACATGGATAGGCTATGACTGTTTTATTTTTCCATCACAGCTCTGATGAAGATGCTGGTAGCTCTCGGAGAACACGTCTGGCTCGGCTGTGCTCGTACCTCCAGGATAAATACAAGCACTTGTGCAGGCAGGAGAGGGCAACCATGCGCCAGAAGAGATACCGCTATGCCTTCCGCAAAGCCCTGCTGCACGCCGCCAGTAAAGACCCAGACTGTGCTGGCCAGTTGATCCAGGAGCTGCGCAAGGTCTCCCAAAACTCCTCAAGGTACCCACACTCAACACTCCCATTAATGCAATGAGCCTGACTAACCTGGTTAGTCTCCTTCAATACCATCTGTCAATGGTTAATGTCCAAAAATTCATGACGTCAGTAATAATTAGTGCCCAGGCCCTAGATACTCGAGTCTTTCCTGGTCAGGTGGTCACGTGATCAGGAGAAACACCTGTCCCCAGTAATGATCGTTTTGTTCTGAAAAGCTAAGGGAGTTCTGAGGGAGTGTTGATATGCTAGTTGTGTTGTGAATAGCTGAGGAAGGGTTGATGTGGTTGTGTCCTGAGCGTGGGTCTGTCTGTCTCTCCTCAGTGCGCTGGGGCAGCAGGAGACAGAGACGAGAATCTGTTCTGGAAGCACCAAGGGCCGGGCCTGCAGTAGCCAAGCTCTACCCTTCACCCGACACTGCTTCCAGCGTATCCTTTTCACCAACCTTACATCAGTTACATGGCACACTGGACTCTTAGGGCTAAACTGTCATTTATTGGGGAATATGGCTTTTAACTTGTCCTATTACAACTTAGCAAACAGACTCAAATTATGGGTCCTGTTTTTGACACATGACTGTTGTGTGTGCTGTCTTTTCCATTGGCGTGTTTCCTTCACGGTTTCTCTGCAGACGTTCTGTTGAATCGCTCCCAGCAGCTCTTCTCCAGTTGCACAGCCAAATTTGCAGATGGACAACAATGCGCCATCCCTGTGTTTGACATCACACATCAGACCCCACTCTGTGAGGAGCATGCCAAAAAGATGGTGAGTTCCCCTTCAGTCAGTACATTGGAGTGTTGCCATTGTAATACCTATGGCACAGTATCTGCTCTGTATTACTATACTTGTGGACATGTGTTTTTCCTATAGGACAATTTCCTGCGTGGGGACGGTAACCGAAGAGTGCAGCACCAGCAGCAGCGGAAGCCGCGTAAGAAGACCAAACCGCCGGCGCTCACCAAGAAACACAAAAAGAAGAGGAGGAGAGGGCCATGGCGGCCCCAGAAGCCCATCCCGCCGGCTCTGCCCCAGGGGAACTTGGGAATGCCATCCTCCTCCAGCCTGACCATGCCCACCCAGGCCAGTATCAGGTCTGTCCCACTCACTTAATCTCTTGCTCACCCTCTCTCTTAGCTCTAGTATTAACTAGGAATTTAACGATACGCATCGGTCCCCGATTAGAATGTTTAAGATAATGTACGACTGCATCGGTCTGCGGACGCCAAACCGATCTATGGATCGGTCAGAAAATGTATTCAAACGTTACGAATCTCTGAATAATCTATTTTTTGTTGCTCATATTACTTTCTTTCTACGTAGTCTTTTGTGACAACTGACACGTCCTCTCCTTCAGTGTCGAACTAAGCATGTAACTGTGTTGACAGTCATTGATATACAAGTCATTTTGCAATAATAGTTAGCCTAATTTCAGCTGTTTGAAGCTGGTGTACGAAACCGAAAGTAAAAGATACAAAAACTGAACTTAAGAACAGGAAGCATAGAAATAGCGCACATAAGGCAGATCTACCTACTACTTCTTAGACTTGCTTTCAATGAGAATGACAGATCTATAACTCCCATTTCTATGTGAATTTGGTTGTTGCCCAAAAAGTTACATATTGCAGCTTTAAACAATCACTGATAGTGGGGTGGTAGATGCCTAGTCTCCCTTATGGGTCAGATCAGGTGCCTACATAGTATAGACATACATCATTTACACACACACACACACACACACACACACATAGTACATACACCAGGGATACGGCCTGCGGATCAATTTCCAAAGAAAAAATTGTGATTTTTTTTTGTTGCTCCATCGGGGTCTCAACTTACTGTTGAGAGTTAAAATGGTACAATACACAAGGTGCAATTTCAAAATGTGGTAGTGCATCACCCCTAGCGTCGATTGACGCACCCTTATTAAAAATCCCCATAAAAATCTACGGTAGAGATATCGTCCGCCTATGTCGACCTTCCGCATCAGAGCTACAGCGCTGTTTATCAGACCAGGAGACATCCTGAAAATCGGTCTTCTCCCGAAAACGTCTGTAGCATTCGAACGGTTTGGCCTACAAACGAATATGACTGTATGGAAAGATGAGGCTCTCACGAACACGATGGTGTTCTCCGTTTTGTTCTACGACCCCCACAATCCCCACGGGACTCGTATGAAGGTAACATACCGGTTTACTTTTTTAAAATGTTTATGTAGTTTTGTGTCCCCCCCAAAAAAGGGGTTAACTATATGTTAAAAATATATGTATAATAATTCCTGAGCTTTCTTATATCTCCTAGATATAGGACAGACACTTCAAAGCCTTATTTATTATTATTTAGCCATGTGTTATTCAATGTGTTTTTATGGGCTATAGCAGTGAAGGCCAAATTCAATATTTTATTATACTTTTTTTGATACCTACAGGGGTCCTAAAATTCATAATCAAATAGCTAATGGTATGATCATCTTAAAACAATTCCATATGTTAGCTTAGTAGAACCCCCCCCCCCCCCCCCCAGGCTTAGACTTTTAAGGGCTAAACTTGTAGAATTCATGGTCGAATTACCGGCCCGGGGGCCCCCCATTTGATTTTGTTAGTAGCTCTCACTCAGATATCATATAAAAAAAACTGCTAACATTTCTCTCTGTCCCATGGCAAATTGAGTAGAATGGCAGGAAATTAGTTTTGAAATTGCAAAATCTTCTCTCTGCCCCATGGCAAAATGTGTAGATTTTCCGCAAACTTGCTTTAAAACTGCTAAAAATAAATCTGCGCCCCATGGCAAAATGTGTAGAGTTGCAGTAAATTCTCTTAAGATGGGGCCAACAAAATTTCGCTTTGGGGCGAACAAAATTTCGTTTAGGGCCTGTCATGCCAAATAATGTCCCCCTCTGCGTCACAATGGGATTCGATAAACTATTAGCGGTTGATAACCTAATGATTAGAATTTTGGAGATCATTACAGCCTAAGTGACGTTATTTTTATAATCGCTATGCAAACAAGGCTGATTTCCGCGACAATGTTGCTGTTTAAACAAGTTTTGCTTAGCTAATAAAATGAAAACATTACTTCCAACTACTTTGCTTGACACAAAGTTACTTACCTTACAGATCACGAAGTCAATTAATTTCCACTCGATTCAATCTGTTGATTTGGCTTGTCTGGCTGTCATGTTTTTATTTTAACCTGCCCTTCCCCTGTCTGTACTGAAATAATATAATTTGAAATAATATAATTTCAGTAGTCCTCTAGTACGATTATTTTTTGTTCTATCTCGCATAGCTAATTAGTACGCCCTTGTGGTTGAATATATATGTATCTATTGTAGGTCCTAGGATACAACAATGAATCATGTAGAACAAATAAATGGTTTTACAAGCTAAATCCTTCCAGTTATCTAATAGAAGTTAACTGCTTAACGTTACCCTGAATTGTGAATTTCTCTGAATGTTGCGCCTCTTGTCGAGATCAGTGGTGCCTTCATAGTACTTCGCCTGGTTGGAAAGATAAACGAAAATCTCCTCGAGGAATGCCATTGAAGTGCAAGCTACATAGAAATAGAAAGATACAATAACAGTACAGTACAGTAGCTAGCTAACGTTAGCTAAATAAAACTGTCTGGCTAGCTAGCTGGCTAGCTGACTAGGCAGGCTGAGGTATATAAGTAACGTTACAGTAGCTAGCAACGTCAATCTAAAAACAGCTTCAATGATTTATTCCTATTTAGCAATATTTTCTTATATAAAGACAAATATATGGTAAAGAAAGTGTGTTCTCTTTCCAGTCTTTTCGGTCCACTGAAGCAGCAGGTAGTAAGCAGGTTGTCACCGTCAAAAACTCGGTCCTTGGAGAGCAATTCTGAGGTAATAATTTTGCGCGGACTGAGGGAGCGCTTAAGAGGTGAAATAGAACTACAACTGCCCGCGCGTCCTACTTCCTTCGCTACGAGGGAAAATAGAGCCAAGCAACCAGCATAACAACGGACGCTTTGGTTCATTACATAATGCGGTCATAATGTTGGAAGTTCTAGCAACAACCCTAGCAACAGAAGCTAGAACTCATCGAATCCCATTGTGAAACGGGACGACGACGACACACCATTTGGCATGACAGGCCCCGAAAAGGCCAGGGCCAGCTCTGACTACATGTGTGGTTATGGATGTGGGTATGCAGACCAGTGAGCCACTGCGGCCCCCCATGATGAGTTCAGATTTTTTGTGGTTGCCCATCCCTGACATACACCATAGACATACATCATTAACACACACATAGCATATGTTTTACTATCCTTGTGGGGACCTAACATTTATTTCCATTCAAAATACAATTTTTCCTAAATCTTAGCCTAATTTTAACCCTAAACCTAACCCCTGAGCTTAAAATAGCCTTTGTCCTCATGAGGATGTGGGAAATGTCCACATGGGAATACTTTTCCTTGTTTTGCTATCCTTGTGGGGACTTTTGGGGATTTCCGGTACCCACGAGGATACTAATACAAGCACGCACGGATCTGAGCTTCATCAGCAGGAGATTTTAATTTATAATGGATAATGAATGTTTTTATGCAACCAATGTTAGTGCATCGAACCGAATCGCATCGATTTGTTCTCTAATCAAACAGAATCGCACTGAATGGTTTCAAACTAAGACGGATCGTTCCTGTATCAATCGGAGCCCATCTATCTAGATACGTATCGAATCGTCTTGAAAGGGAAATATGTACATCCCTAGTATCAATATATTGTCACAAACAACTGCACGGTGTACACTGAGGAGAATTGTATTTTATGAAGCTGTCTTGGTGTTAGGAGTCCTTCGACACCCGAACTGAGCACCGATGAGCTTCCTGATGACATCACCAATGACATGGCAGACATTCCAAATGACCTCGAGCTTAACCAGGAAGACTTCTCGGACGTGTTACCCAGGCTCCCCGACGACCTGCAGGACTTTGACTTGTTTGAAGGTACAGTATGCTTATTGTCATGGATTTCACTGCTCTAGGTCCTATTCATAAATGTTAGTTTATACTTTTAGATTTGACCTTCTAAAGAAGCTCAGTTAGAGCAAGACTTTCCCAGTGGGGGTATTTTTAGCATGTGTGTGATGTCAGCCTTTTTCAATATTTTATTTTTTACCGAAATTGTTGTATTTGAACAGGTTTGTCTGCTGATAAACTGAAGTCTCAACTATTTACTCACATTTCTTCTTGACCTCTTGAGAAAGGGAGGTGGTTGGTAGATTCCTAGGGTGTGGGTAAGAAAGTTGTGTACATCCTCAGGTAAGAATGGGGAGCTGCTACCCACCACGGAGGAGGCTGAGGAGCTGGTGCGAGCACTGCAGGCTGGGCTGATGGGCTCCTACCCAGACTCCCTGGTGTGCCTGACCTCCATGGCGGAGCTGGCGCAGGCAGACGGAGTGGACCATCGGGTCATGGCAGCAGTGTTTCCTGGGCCAGGGGTCCAGCCAGGTGGGATTGGGGACCTGCTCAACGGCCGCATCCCTCCAGAGAACTTCTCCAGCCTGGAGCTGGAGGACAACCTGCTTCACTCTGCTGGGGGCCACTTCTCCCCCGCGGCGTCACCTCAGCAGCCCCCTGCCCAGGGCCAGGCCCCCCCCTCGGGGCCTAGCCTCACCACCTCCACCGTCGCACAGAGCCCCCTGTCAGAGCGAACGTTCCCCCGGACACACCCGCCCCACATCCTGGCGAAGCCCGAGGCGCACACCTCGTCTCCACAGGGCAGCCATTACAGCAGCGAGCATGTGCCATCCCCCTACAGTGACCACATGTCCTCCCCCCATGCCACCTCCTTCCAGACAGAGACTCCTCTCCTTCTGGAGGTCCCTCTGAGTGGGGTACCAGGCCCCCCGCAGTCCTCCTGGAACAACCTCCACCTGCCCCTCACTGACCCCACACAGTTTGGCAACCTCATATCAACCTCTCTTTCCACTCCCCCCTCCTCCACCTCCCACTCTGTGACCCTGCAGCCCATGGCTGCCCTCTCAGCGATCCCCCAGAGCGGCCTGACGGGCTTGACTGCTCCCCCCGACCCCTCACTACGCGACCTCCTGACCTCCACTCAGTCCAAGCAGCAGCTCCCTCAGTTCAGCGCTGCCTTCGGCCACCAGCTGGTCTCCCACAGTGGCATCCCCAAGGATGTGCAGCCCAGTCACAGTTCCACAGCTCCCCCCACTGGCTTCTCCATAGCTAATGCCACCGCTGCTTGTGCCAACAGTGCAACACCTCCCTTTCCACACAGTAACTGAGAGCAAGCAGGTCAAACCATGGACTCTAGACACTCATTCACCCACAGTCGATACATTTTCCATCTACTTCAAATCTGCAATTTGGTAACGGTGCACTATTCTATCTGAATTTGCACAACCTCAGATATTCCTTAATTGTAAAAATTTGGTGATGTTATAGCCATTTGGCCATCTGAAAGGGTATGCAAGAGTCCGGTGGTTTGACGTGAATGCCGCTCCAGGGTTTCACCAGCAGAGGGAGATGTTAGGCAGAGTTTGTGGGGAGGGAGGTAGCTCAATAGAAACATGGACTGTGTGGAGGAACATTGGAGGAAGTACCTTAGGAGCGATTATTCCTATCATAGTGACCGCAACAGTGCTAGAGAATTCTGTGACAAAGCCTCAATCAGTGGTCTGTTTTTTTGTATTGCCAGTTTAGTCCTGTCTAACAGCCATCAACTATAACCTGCCTTGCTATGATCATTACATCGGTTCATTGTTCCTCATTCCGTTCACCTTTTGAAAGAGATTCTAGGGTAGATCCTTGTAGCTATCTATGTGTGTGACCCATTATGAAGCAACAGAGGAAATTGCTCTGTCAAATCCTATCATGAAGTAGACTCCTGTCCTCCACCACTTAACAGACACAGAATTTGGCTAAACCACTTTTAAACAGCTTTTTTTATATTGTATATATTTGGTATTTTATTGGTTTACTCAGAAATGTAAAAGGTCTTTTGACCTCACCGTTGGTTGTGGGACTCCTTACGGGTGGCCTATTAGACACTTGAAGGTAAATCTTATTACGTTTAAGCAATAAACACATTGACATACTCAGTCACAGTTGTGTAATGTATTGTATTAGTCTTCACTTTATGTATCTTCACTATGTAATCCATACCAATGTGGACCAGAAATATTTTGGGGCCTGTATAACTCTGTCATAAACCGTGTTTTCTAAATCAAGGCTAAACTGTTTGATTAGAGATATAGACTGTCTGTCTGTAACAGAACACTGAACAGGAGCCAGTTTGCCAAAAGCATCTTAAGGCTAAGTTCATCGTTAGGATCCTATAGTTCTAACGATGAACTTAGCCTTAAGATGCTTTTGGGAAACCGGGCCCAGGTCAGGAAGCTTCTCTTGGGTCATACTTAGTAGTTTCACATAGCGAAGGAAAAAAGGGTCAATGTTATTGCAAGGGTAATGGCCAAATCCAGGGGCTTAAGTGTCCACAACTCTCTATGGTGCTCTCTGGTCTTGCTAAATAATGGCCTTTAAAAGGGACATGTATGTATGTGGTCCCTCCTAAGAGAGAAACTCTCTACTTCAGGAACCCAGTGGGAGGGAAATGGTTATCTTCGATATCAGAACTCACCCAGTAAAGGACCAGAAAGTTGTCTTTCACTAGTCTAGCAGTGTATATGGATGTGAAATTATGGCCCCCTTGTTTTACCCTCTGTTAGCTGTCTGTGGTAGTGACACATGTAAACTGGTGCAATGAGCATTTGAGGTATAGCACTGTCTGTTGTACTACAAAATTATTATCAGGTGAATTAAGGTCATTGAAGCATGGGTCTCTCTATGTTAACTGTTTGGTTAGGGAATGAGGATGGAATCTACCTGACAACTCTGCCCTATCTGCTTTAAAATAACTATTATTACAGCAGTAAACCATGAGTTTCGGTATATATATATATTTTTTACTGAAAGATACTCAGTGTTAAGTATTAGATATATTTGTAGGGTAGAGATCTCTACAGTGGGTTTTATTGGTGAGTTAACGAGTGGCAATGGATTGAAAATGAAGTAAAAGAAAAAAGAAAAAAAATCTTGTCATTTGCAAAGTGCTTGATGGAAACTGTTTTGTGGAACACCCTTCTCTCATTTTAATGGCTATCAAAACTCTTGTAACTTCTCTTAAAAGTGGAATGATCAATGTTTGTGTACACTTTGTCATTTAGTTAACCAAACTGACAAAATGTCTATAATTATGTAAGACACTAATTTTGATAGCTATTAAATTCTGGCAAGCAGTTGCTGCTGAAAGACTGGGATTGCATGGAGAGACAACCTTACAGCTGAGTGCAAAGCCACAACATTTCTCCCTCATTTACTACTGGATCGCTCTAGGTAGCAGTAAATCCAACCATAGTATTGCATACCATTAACCTTTTTTTCTTTGCAAGTACTAGGGATATACATAACAGCACACGTAATCAGTTTGGATTTGGAGCACATCACTGACCTGTGCTAAACAGGACTGAGGGAGGCCAGAGATTGCCTTTTGTCAGGATACAGATTACTAACAGCTGTCGTTAACTGCACACACATTGCTAAGCAGGCCCCAATTCCAACGGTGAAGGCCTAGTTCTTTCTCCCAGTTCCAAAGAGACCGAAATGTTATAGGACACATTACAAGAGCAGACTCTTCAAGTTTGTTTATTTTGCTTGACCACAGCATTGTTGTTCCTAGATGTACAGCCCCTAGGAATTAGGTGGGCTGGAATGTGGTCTTGAATTTGCGCAAGCAAGATGATACTGCTGTATTCACAAAGCATGAGATGAGACATTGCACAGCTGGACTCCCCACCAACGATATAGAACAAACTCCACAGGGCTCTGTAGGCACTTGTAACTGCTTGAAATCTGAGAGATGGCTGACAAATTCCTATACTCATTGAATGTACTGTATTACTGTTTTTAAACATGGGATGAGCTAATAATAATCTAGTCACCTTTTGTTATTGGTCCTTGTTTAATTTGTCTAAGGTATTTTTTTGTATACAAAGGTTTACATTTTTATGTATATTTTTCTTGTGTACAAATTATGTAATATGTGTATAAACACTGTAATATCTGTATATAGTGTGATAAAATTTGATCTTTTGTTTTTGGATGTATAAATAAAACTTGCTGTGAGATATTCGCTGACATGGGTTGTGCAGTGTTTTTATTTCTAGATGGACAATTCTAACAATGCAATAATAGCATGTCTCTGCAAGTCACGCCTTCTTAATATAATAATAATAATAATAATATGCCATTTAGCAGACGCTTTTATCCAAAGCGACTTAAGTCGTGCGTGCATACATTTTTGTGTATGGGTGGTCCCGGGGATCGAACCCACTACCTTGGCGTTACAAGCGCCGTGCTCTACCAGCTGAGCTACAGAGGACTAATCTAACTTCAGGGCCTTTTTTCCCCTTGCATTGTCAAGGGCTGCGTTTACACACACGTGTATGAAGGCAGCCCAAGGAAGCTAACATCTGATGTAACCACATGAGAACAGAACTGAATGCACTATACTGCCCAAACAACCAGCATCCTAATGTAGTCATTGTCAAGTTGTCCATATAGGTGTACATATTTGGAAAGGCACACACCTGTCTATATAAGGTCCCACAGTTGACAGTGCATGTCAGAGCAAAAACCAAGCCATGAGGTCGAAGGAATTGTCCATAGAGCTCAGAGACAGGATTGTGAAAGTCACAGATCTGGGGAAGGGTATCAAAACATTTCTGCAGCATTGAAGGTCCCCAAGAACAAAGTGGCCTCCATCATTCTTAAATGGAAGATGTTTACAACCACCAAGACTCTTCCTAGAGCTGGCCGCCCGGCCAAACTGAGCAATCGGGGGAGAAGGGCCTTGGTCAGGGAGGTGACCAAGAACCTGATAGTCACTCTGACAGAGCTCCAGAGTTCCTCTGTGGAGATGGGAGAACCTTCCAGAAGGACAACCATCTCTGCAGCACTCCACCAATCAGGCCTTTATGGTAGAGTGGCCAGACGGAAGCCACTCCTTAGTAAAAGGCACATGACAGCCCGCTTGGAGTTTGCCAAAAGGCACCTAAAGGACTCTCAGACCATAAGAAACAAGATTCTCTGGTCTGATGAAACCAAGATTGAACTCTTTGGCCTGAATGCCAAGCGTCAAGTCTGGAGGAAACCTGGCACCATCCCTACGGTGAAGCATGGTGGTGGCAGCATCATGCTGTGGCAATGTTTTCAGCGGCAGGGACTGGGAGACTAGTCAGGATCAAGGCAAAGATGAACGGCGCTAAGTACAGCGAGATCCTTGATGAAAACCTGCTCTAGAGTGCTCAGGACCTCAGACTGGGGCGAAGGTTCACCTTCAAACAGGACAACGACCCTAAGCACACAGCCAAGACAACGCAGGAGTGGCTTTGGTACAAGTCTCTGAATGTCCTTGAGTGGCCCAGCCAGAGCCCGGACTTGAACCCGATCAAACATCTCTGGAAAGACCTGAAAATAGCTGTGTAGCAACGCTCCCCATCCAACCTGACAGAGCTTGAGAGGATCTGCAGAGAAGAATGGGAGAAACTCTCCAAATACAGGTGTGCCAAGCTTGTAGCGTCATACCCAAGAAGCCTTGATGCTGTAATCGCTGCCAAAGGTGCTTCAACAAAGTACTGAGTAAAAGGGTCTGAATACTCTAAAAACCTGTTTTCGCTTTGTCATTATGGGGTAGTGTGTGTAGATTGATGAGGGAAAATTATTTAATCAATTTTAGAATAAGGCTGTAATGTAACAAAATGTGGAAAAGTCAAGGGGTCTGAATACTTTCCGAAGGCACTGTACTTAAAAAGCTGCACTCTGGTTGCAATATTTAGATTATCCAGTGCTGGGAAAGCAATATTGCTCCACACAAAGACATCAATTTATATTTGCATTAGATTTTTATTTTTATTAATCACTTGAAAGCTTATAAAGAGTCCAATACCTAGGTGTTTGAGTGACATAAGCAAGGACTATATACAGGACTATAAACTGTCAGCAATGTTACAGAAAATGAAATGTCAATTTGTGATAACTATCATTAATAACAGGACAATATTTTTTTATTCTATACTATAATACTGCTCTTTTGAGTTAGAAAAATATTGTTCCATAGAATATACCTGTGCTGAGAAATGTGACCTGATGACCTCTGCTTTATTGCCATACTCAAGGTATAGTACTTTAACAAATGACAATGAAAAAACTATGGCCTCAAGTA